CACATGTCCAGAAACAAGATAAAATGTCTGAGACAAATGATCTAGAGATAGACCTGGGCTCCATTCTGGAAGGAGAGCAGGCCTTGGAAATGCCTGAGGAGGAATTCAGAAAAATGATTTAAAAAATGTTTCAAAACACTTTACATGGAGTTGAGAAAAATAAGAAGTCAGGAGAGCGCTACAGGAAAAATCAAATAAGATAGATACAGCATTGGAAACAATTCAAAAACTACAAAAAGAGGTCCAAACGATCAATAATAGAATATCAGAAATAGACAATACACTGAAAGGGCAAAGGAGTAGACTAGAAGAGATGGAAGGGAGAACCAGTGAGCTGAAAGCCAAATCTCTCAATACCACTAAGCAAACAGAAAAAAGCATAAAAAAATCTGAAGTAAGTCTAAGATTCATGTTGGACAACATGAAGAGGAGTAACTTAAGAATTATCAGCATTCCAGAACAAGAAGAATCACACAAGTCCACAAAGTAAATAGTTGAAGAACTGCTGGAAGAAAATTTCTCTAACATCCTGAAAAGTGAAAAGATAAACATTCAAGAAGCTCAATGAGCCTCAGGAAGAATAGACTCCAAAAGGAAATCACCAAGACATATCATAATCAAGCTCTCCAAAATCAAAGATAAGAAGAGAATACTGAAAGCAGCTAGGGAAAAGAGAAATGGTACATACAAAGGCAACCACGTCAGATTAAGCTTGGATCACTCAGAAGAAACCATGCAAGCAAGAAGGCAATGGGGAGACATACATAAAACCCTGAAAGAAAAAAAAACTGGCAACCAAGAATCCTTTATCCAGCAAAGTTATCAATCAAATACAATGGTGTAATCAAAACATTCCAGGATAAACAGAAGCTAAGGGATTTTGCCCAAGCCAACCCTGCACTACAAAACATCTTAAAGGGAGTTCTGTGGACTAAGAACCAACAAGAATAGACAACAACCAGAGATTGACATACATGGCAGCACCTCCCAGAATTAAATCGACAGAAGGAAGAGTAGAGAACAGAACAAAACTATTAAGAAAAAACTCAGAGACTCTGGGAGATCAGTCTATGATCAAAACAATTACAATGTAGAAGAAGGTAAACATGTAGGAACAGAGATCCAGATGGTGAGAAGGTCAGGTAGATTACAGGATAAAACAGACTGCATTAAATGGAGAGATTGGACTATAAAGTAACCTCAAAGAAAATTAACATCACAACACGCTAAGAAAATGAAAATCCAAGAAGAACATGGAAACATTAAAACTATGAGGAAACTCACAAGGAAGAACACAAAAAGCATGAATTCAGCAGGGGAAGACACACAGAACAAAGAAAGCAGCAACACCACAAAAAATAAACATAATGGCAGCAATTAATCCATACCTATCAATAATTACACTGAATGCAAACAGATTAAATGCACCAGTTAAGAGACGGAGGGTGGCAGAATGGATAAGAAAACAAGATCCTGCAATATGCTGTCTGCAAGAGACACATCTCACACACAGAGACAAAAACAGATGAAAAATCAAAGGATGGAAAAAAATATACCAAGCTAATTGCAATAAAAAACAAACAGAAGTGACAGTACTAATCTCTGATAAAATAAACTTTAAGGCAAAACCCAGCATAATAGATCAAAATGGACATTATCTCATAATTAAAGGGACAATTGGACATGATGATATAACCATAATAAATATCTATGCTCCCAATGAAAGAGCTCCAAAATATATAAAGCAAACTCTAATTGTTGTTGTTGTTATGTGCCGTGGAACTCTAATAGATTTGAAGAAAGAAATAGACAAATCTACAATAATAGTAGGTGATTTTAATAGACTGCTTTAAAAAATGGATAGAGCAACCAGAAAGAAACTTGACAAAGACACAGAAAAACTAAACAACACAATCAGCCAACTGGACCTCATAGATGTATACAGAGCATTCAACCCAACAAC